TGAGGTATGGATTGAAACCACTCACAACGGGTATTGGCAAAAGATTGAAATAAAACCACATCCTCCTTATTGTTCTCATTGTAGTATATTTGGTCACAGTTCTACTATTTGTTATCGCTTGCATCCTCATCTAAAGTCGAATATCGCTAAAGATCAACCACCTAATCAACCAACTAACATCCCTGCTGAGAAGGTGCAACTCGATCCTCTTTCCAACACCGTAGTTCATGATGAAGAACACTATCCTACAAATACAGATTCAAACGTGCTTATACCACCCACTGTTATCGAAGAAGCTCACTTACATGTCAGACACACGATATTGCTCCTTTGATCCAATTAAAGATCAGCTAGTACAACAAGTTGTTGCTTCTAATGTTCAACAACCTACACACGTCCAACACACTTTAGACCATTCTACTGATCAGGTGAGTCAATCTTCGGACGAGGAATGACATGTCTATTCTAGCAGGAAGAAGAAGAATGGAGGCCGACTCGAGCTCGGGAACTTATTGGATGATACATTGATTTCTACTGGCAATGGCACTCATCTTACCCATTTATTAGCTGGCTCCTTCCCTATAACTCGAGGCAGAGGCAAGACAAAATTGGGTCGCACTCTAGCTACCTGATACTACGTAATTTGACACTTTTTGGGTTTTTTCTTTAGATCTCTCATGTATTTTTCTGTATTTTCTCTTGTTGGAACTCTTGTTAGAACCATTGTGATTATCGTGTGGGTAGGGTGTCATGTTTGGGCCCTCTCACACAATCTACGTATATTTTTTTTTCTATTTAATATATTAGTTTTTGGACTTTCTAAAAAAAAAAATTTTTTAAGAAAAAACCCAATGGCAAATATTAATACGGAAAAGATACAGAAATGTTGTATGAGAGGGCCTAAAGGAAAGCCCAACTCACACAATACAACACACACAAAACTCAAATAAAGCAAAAAAGCATAAAGGTAAAAAATGAAAAAGCCACAAAAGGGCGCAAAAGTACTAGGGACGTCTCACTTTAGTTCTCTCTTTGCCTCAAGTTCTCGGAAGTGAGTCGACTAACAATTTGCTAAGGTGAGTACCATTGCTCGTAGTAACTAACGTATCATCCTTCAGATTTCTGAGCTCAAATATATATATATATATATATATTTTTTTTTTTTTCTTTTCAAAGAAATGACCAAAGGCTATTATACGAGCCTCCAGCCGCTCTTAATGTGACTAACAATTCGAGCATCATCTCCTTAAGGCCAACTGTGTCAGACAGTATTCGAACCTCCGACCTCAGGGGTCTTACACCGAGAATGACATCCAACAGGTCAAGATACGCGACACACACAAACACGGGTGAACAAATCTTTCTAAAATTACACTCGCAAAGCCAACGACATCAAAATATACATTATTATAAATTCATATAGTTAATTTGAGGTATCATAGCTGGCGATCATCATTAAACAAACATCAACCCCATTGTCGACTGCTCAATTTGGCCTCAACTACTCGAACCATGTTTAAGGAAGCATTTTCAATTCATATTTCTATCATAGAAGGATGTGATTTGCAATGTTCATTATTGGCATGTTCAAAGAATATTCATGTATAATTTGGATAAAGACTAAAGCATCATCAAAATCTACAAATAGAACTCAACACAACTCATTTGGTGTGTATTGTGAAGGTTTTAGAATTTTAAAGCCATTAAGGTTGCTTGGATTCTCGAGAATATTATCATAGGTTATCTTTAGATTTTTAAATTCATGTCATATCATCTGTAACATTGACATCATGCACTTAGATCTCTAGAAGGTTTATTGTGATAAACCTTTGATCCCTCGTTAACCTTTGTGCATCATCATCACACGAAACAAATAGAACAAACTGCCATACCTTGCATTGACTTCATAATTCATGCAAAAAGACTATGCTTTGCAACATTTTTTTTTTGTTGATGTAAGCCATTTTAACCATAGATAATACCCATGTATTTTTATCCTTTTCAAATATTGCATGTAAAACTTTAGGGATTCCTATTCTTCCTATACATGACTAAAGATATGTTATCTTAACTAGTTAAGATAATTAAGAGTTCTATCTTTATCGACTCAATTCTCAAACAAAAAATATGACAATGTTTGTGAGAAATGACAACCATTCATTTTTAGTAATTAAATTTTCTAGAAAGAATTGTCCTTCTCTACCACTATCCTCTAGCATCCTACACCTCCATGTTTGAAGTTAATATCCATACAATGGGACTATTGATCCCTTGGGCATGAGGACCAATGAAAAGCATTATGCATATCAAATATGTGTTTCACTCACTTTTAGTCCCGGTGTACTCTACCAAACTCTAGAGCCAAGCACAAATATGGTTCTACTCCCTATGTCACGGCTCAATCAACACCTTTGCCAAACTAACTAGGCTATTTTCCAACCAACTCATTACAAATTAAAGAATTATTTGGGAATCTTAACATTTCTCTAGCATTCACGAGAAAGATAGTACCACTCATGGAGTACTTCACACTGTTTCCACTTATAATATTGACAAAAGAAATCACCCACCTCCATCTAGAATGTCAATAAAGAAAAGCAAGCAGTCAGTGCTCAGCTCAAACCTCAATCATAACTAGTACTTGGAGAAAATAAAAAGCATAAACCCTTTCCTAGCCCAGAATTGAGAGGTAGCAAGCATAACTTTCCATTAGTTGATGTTCAATTGATGTGTGCGAACTATTTAATTATCTTGAAAGGCCATAATTTAACAACTTTGAGTTCAAAGCAGTAGTTTTTTAGTTTAGTTTCATAGCTCTCATGCATGAGAATCACAATAATAACCATTTGCTATCTTGGTTTAGTGATGATCGATGATCACTATCGAACCATCATAATCGACCATTTGTAATCCGATCAGGCAAACCCATAGAAAACATTGTCTGATCATATTTTAAGGATGTGATCGGCACCATTCATAGTTGGCATTTAAGGGGATAATCTGACATATTTAAAATATAATCAAAGTGACCTTTTCAAAATCTATAAATGGGTCTTCAATTCAATTTAGTTAGGGCATCCTAAACGTTTAAGAATTAGGAAGTTCTATGGGTTAATTGGATCATCGTGAAACTTTTGTAGGCTGCTTTTAGCATGATAGAATTTTTGTTATCTTTCGTTACATCAACATTGTGTTGTCGACATCTCCGAGGTATGTATTGCAATCAACCTTCACCGCTCTACCTACCTTCATGCATAATCATCTCACATAAGGAACCTAATACAACATACTTTCAACCGGTTGTATTGAAACCTTTTTAAATACGAAGATGTAAAATACCTTATAATATATTATTTTATTAGCAGAAGTTGTTCCAACTAGGCTTGGCCTTGAAATTTTTTCTTATTGAGTTTTTTACGTAAGAAATTATGTCAATAGTATCCCTTTACTTGATAAATTGTGCATATGTTACCATAAAAAAACTAAGAACATTAATATCAATTCTCTCTTGCTCGACTCAATTTTTTGCAGGAGAAAATAATATATATCATCAGAAACCTCCAAGAATAAATGTAGTCAATTTATCTTTTTTCTTTTAATGTTATTGTATGAATGGACAACAAAATTTGAACCATGATTGTCCGCTTAGGCCCTAAAAATCATGTTACTTATTTGCAGTAGTGTTTAAATGCCATGATTAGAATCTCATTGCCATGCTCAAATTATTTTAACACCACCAATCCTTCACTCAAAAAAAAAAAAACAAAAAAATAATAATAACAAAAACCATGAAGGTAAATTGCATTAAAATATTTGCAATATGAAACCCAAATTAAGGTCAACATTTCAAGATTAGAAATATAGACGCAGCCCTTATCCAGACGACCGTGCTGATACCTATAATTCTTAAATACATTCCTTGCTCATTTCAAACATCAGATGAAACATTTTCTTCCTTCACAAACTATTTTGTAACAAATCTGAATCATTATGTTCGGGCATCCTAAATGTTCAAGAATTTTGAAGTTATAGGCATTATTTCGATTGTCCAGAAACTTTTATAAGCAACTTTTAGCTTGAAAAAATTTGTGTTATTTTTCGTTGCATCAACATTGTACCATTGGCATCTCCTGGCATGTTGCAATCAACCTTCAATGATCTGCCTACCTTCATGCATTATCATCTCACTTAAGGCTCCTACAGCAACTTACTTTCATTTATGCTATACCAAGACCTTTTGTAATTATGAAGAAGTAATATACCTTATATATATTATTCTATTAGCTGGAGTTGTTCCAACATGGCTTGGCCTTGTATTTTTTTCTTTTTGAACTTTTTACAGTAGAAATTATGATATACTTTTTCTTTACATCATAAATTGTGCATGTGTTACCATAAATAGCTAAGAACATTAAAATCATTTCTCTCTTGCTCAACTCAATTTTTTTCAAACAAAAAATATACATCAGAAAACTCCAATCAACAAATTTAGTAAATTTTCTTTTAATTTTATTCCATGAAGGGACAACAAATTTGAACCGTAGTTGTTCAATAAGGCCCCAAAATCATGTTGTTTATTTGCAATGGGGTTCAAATGGCACGATAAGAATCTCATTGTCATATTATTTTAATACTACAATCCCTCACTCCCAAACCCAAAAAAACAAAAAAAAATAAAAACTGAAGGAAAACAGCATTAAAATCATTGCAATGCAAAGCCTAAATTAAGCAAGTCACAACAGTTTAAGATTATAAGTACAGAAGTGGCCCTTGTCTACACCATGCCGATACCTTTCCTTTAATTCTTAAGATATTCCTTGTTCATTTGAAACATAAGATGAAATGTTTTCTTCCCTCACAAACTAATTTGTAACAATTCTGAAGCACTACCCCAACCACGGCATAGTAGAATTAAGCCAAACACGCGCGCATACATACCGCGGACTAGAATTCAACAATAAAACAAGCTTTTAGGGGAAAAAAAATTTAACGAGACATACCCAGCGTTGAATATTATCGGAGGAAGCAAGTATATAAAAAACAGATCCTCGCTGAAGACAAGTATATGAGAGCTCTTCCCCTTAGTCGTCAGTAAAATAACAACCCCCGTGCACAAACCCTGTCATTGTGGACCAAAACACAAATATCCTCCATTAAGAGGCATCATAACCATAGAAAATACAAAACAAAAATGGAAAAAAAAAAACATAAACAAAGCATCGATCCCACACCGGCTCTGCAAAAGGAACAACTGCAAAAGGGTAATAAAAAAAAATCCAGCCTCGTTCAAGTGGGGATGGAGAACTCACGATGGCTAGAGCGGTTATGGACTCATTCATCCACCGATTCTCTTCAAGAAGATGACCAATAACGATGCAAGCGCAGAGCAGCGCTACAAATAGATTAATCGACACCACCGACTTATGATCAGAGGTCGTCGCCACGATTCCGAGCCGCACCAGCTCCGTCCCCAAATTGAACCCCATCTCTTCCTCCACAGTCCGCTCTCTTACTGCCCTCTTCCCCAAACAAAAAACCAAGATAGCAAACAAACAATACAACCAAAGAACCACCACAAACGAAACAGAGCCAATTGTTCACGTCTCCTCAGAGTCCATTCGAGAGAAGAACATCCTCGAAATGCTCTCTCCTCAATTTAGCACACGAATCATCTCCTTCGGATCATAACCTATGCCAAGCAGAGAAAAGAAACCGAGCTCTCCGGCCCAAAGATTCCGCGAAGCACTTACAGACAGCTTCGGTGCTGAATTTCCGGCGCTCTCCAAATTCACGAGATAACTTTCCCAATCACCCTTTCTCATTTGCTCTCCTCCTCTCCGCTCTCTGAACTTTCTCGCTTCTTCTACATTAATATATAAATCGAATCTCCGTGAAATGGAGGATGGATGTGCGGGAGCGAGACTGACATGTCAGTATATTATTGGTCTCAATCGCTGTTTGGTGCGATTTGCTATAGCGGTATCTATACATAGCGTTTTGGCGTTTCTACGCAGCTGGAGGCCCAGCAAAGTGGGCCAGGCCGGGCAACGTGTAGTGGTGTCATACCATACAGCCGACGGATGCGTAAGGCTTGAAAAATGTTTCGCCACGTGGCAGCACATTTCACCTCCGGGCCCACGGCCAATATTTGAGGTCGGGAAGAGCTGCGCGGTTTAGGGCGGTTTAAGTATCCCGGATTATGGTTTTGACCGGACCGGTTTCGTGCCGTATGAGCGCGGTTCTTCCGAACCAAACCAGACCAACTTCTAAAAAATGGGGCAATTACATAAAGATCACCCGAAACTTGCTATTTACAAATCACTACTCTTTCATTCATTTTTACAACTCTCACTCGATTATCAAAATCGTGATAAAACCCCAACTTATATTTTTCATTTTTATCAAATTCTCTGAAGTTTGATTGTGGCACGTGTAAATACATCAGTTCGATGGTTCAAAAAAATCATGTGGGTGGTTAATCTGTAAATGTAAGTGTTTTGGGTGGTATGTGTGTAATTATCCCTTTAAAAATATATGATGTTCGGTCAGTAGATTGTATGTGTGATTCACGTTTGTTGTTCGTACACAAAGGCGGAATCAAGAAAGGTCGGTAGATTGTATGCGTGTTGTTCGTACACAAAGGCGGAATCAAGAAAGGTCCAGGGGGGCAATTGCAAATAAGAGAATGAGGTAGGGACATATATCTAGTGACCGAGAATTCCACATTGACGGTGTCTTCAAGTAACTTGATGAATCTTTGGACTAGAGAGTTTAGTTTCTATTCTCTTCTTCACTCACATTTCGATCCTAAGGTGGCAATTCATTTGCTAAATTGAGACGAGTATTCAAAGGAGGGTCTTCTCTTGAATTGACTCTTAGGTGACGTGAAAAATTGGCTCTTTTTATTTGTTATTGTTCTTTGATTTTCTAATTGATTGTTATTTGGGTTGTTGGTTTTGGGAAGGAGGCAGGAAGAGAGTGAATTGTGAAGATGAGCTCAATTTTGAGGCAAAGCTTGAATAGCTCAAGACCATGACAACATCTTCTAATCATAAGTTAGAGATATAGATAAATGTAATTATAGTGTTGTTTTGTGCATGCATTGTTATTTCACTTCTCCTCAAATAGAGTTAACGGATTTATGAATCAATAACTGCTCTAACTATCGTGAGTATGCCATCTCCATTTGAAAGAAAAAAAAAAAGCTAATTTTTTTTTCACAATCTATTTAGCTAGTTTATGTGAAATTGTGCCTTTTTTTCTTTTCTTTGGGTTTGATGTTTCATAATGATGGATATTCGTGTTTTGGACAGAAGGATAAGGGTTATATAGTGGAGTTATTATTCTATTAGCAACAATGAGGAAGATCTCTTGTACTTTAATTTGACAAGGTTATATTTTTTGTTTACTTGCTTTCTCTCATTATATTTAATGTTGGTTGATTTTGTGTTATAATTGACTCATCATTTAGAACCAAACTAGCTTGTAGAATCTGTAATTGGTTGAAGTGTGCTCTTTTATAATGAGTAAATAAGATATACATAGAAATTTAAGTTGTTAGAAAAAGTGAGCAAGGGAATCTCAATTCTTTTTAGCTGTGTTTTTCTTACTAGAAGTAAATGCTTGATGATATGTAGATAAAATGAGAAAATTTTAAAAATATTTTTTTAAATAAATTATTACTCAAATATAATTTCAGCTTAAGTTTAAACATTAGTGTAACTGTCAAAGATGTAGCAATCAAATGCTTAATTTCTCAAAGGATGTAAATGTCATATGTCAATTGTCAAAGATGTAGCAGTCAAATGCTTAATTTCTCAAAGGATGTAAATGTCATAGAAGTAAAATCAGCATTTTGTAGAATTTTGATTTGAATTTAGCATAATGAGTCAAAGCTATAAGGTTTTCATCAAGCTTAAATAATGAATGGACAATAACTAGCTAATAATGAGAGAAGCTACAAAGACCAAGGGTGTCTACGTGAAGGTATCATTTAGAGTTGTTGATAGAGGCATCAACTTAAGATACAATATTAAAGAACATAAGTAGAGGCATCCATGAAGGTAG